AAAATATAAATACAATTTACAAATGAATTAAATGAATGGCAAAACTGGACTCACATTTTGACGGCCAATACAACAGAGTCTATGGATTAACGCATTAATCAATGAATGGATGTTTTGAATGAAATGCAAATCCAATCCAACACTGAATTGAGTTCACAATAAATATTGCGATAAATATTTACATTAAAACCAAAATAAAGACCAGATTTTCACTCAAAGTGTCGATTAATTATATAATGAGAGACAAGAGATTGTATTGAATAGCGTTTTGACGACTAATACGTGAAATGCAATGCAAAACACTTCACAACAAACACAGCCATACATACACTCAACGCACTCCACAATCCACTCTCAAACCCCGTTATTGGTTACGCTAATTGTCTTTTTTGCTCATTTAGTTGTATTGTTTGGTTTTATCATTAATTTTAATTCATAGTTAATGTGATTGTGTTTAATATAGCAATTATGCGGTCAATTGTGGCACTAAATTGCAATACATATGATTGGTTTGGCTGTCAATGGGTTTTACTGTATTTGCCTTAACTCTCGTCCGTAACTCACTTTAAATGCCAATCATTTTTGCGTAATATTTGAGTGAATTTGTTGTAACTTTTATTGCTTATAGCTTTAAGTTTATATATCACTATAAATTGCTATATAAAATGGTACCGAAATTGAGTTGATATTTAATACATTATATAACTTTTAATTTACTTGAATATATGATTCACAGTCAATACATCTGTTTTTGCTTTGACTGGACTTTAAACGGATCCAAAACCAACGTATGATTTGGTGAAGTGAGTGTTTGTTGAACACCCTGTAAACCCTGGAAACTTTATATGCTTGCAGTACTGATGGAATACAGTGTAAGCTAAAAGTTTAATTGTAATAATGATTATAATAATTATATGCATTCAATTTAATAATAATTTTTAACCACAATTCTGCATAGAATAATGTGGTTTACACTGGACTTCCTTTTCAAGCCCTTCCAAATCAAGCATTCGTATAGCATTTGCTGTACTAATGAAAATGACGAAATGTATAGCCAGTGCTTAAAAAGAAAGGGCTTGAAAAGGAAGTCTAGTGTTATATCCCGGCCCCTACCCTATGGAATTGCATATTAATCCTATGAAATATTTAACATGGGTAATGGAACTATGAGACTAATGCTAACTCTATGGACAATGCTAAACCTATGGGCAATGCTAAGTCTATGAGTAATGCTTTTCCTGTGAGCTGATGGTAAGTTTATGGGATGTTTTGAGTATAACTCAAATTATGGTAACGTATTGTGGTGTGAATTATTTCATTAATCAATTGACAATTGTATGGAGTGAGGAAACTGGCCAATTATTACAAAGTTACAATGTATTTACTGACAATTTTCAAATCGCTTTAAAGATTAAGATAGGTCACTATATATGACCTAGGTACAAATAGGTCCAATTTGACTATAAACAAGTAAAAGTTGAATGGGTAAATAGTGAAACACCTTTTAATTGATTATAATTTGCAAATCATGACAACGAGACTCGTGTATATTTTATAGCATCATATGTTTAAATATATTTAACATTTATTTTTATTATTGTATTATGAATGCAATACTCAAAGAAGAGTGTGATTCATGTAAATTATATTTGAATGTATTCTATATTAATAAATAGTTATTTACACAATAATTGCAAATAATGTCTACATTAAATCAATTAAATATTTTATAACAATGAGTGAACATTTTTCAATTAGTTTTCAATTTTAAAAAGTATATAAATTCTTACATTGAATTGTTAGCAAACAATCTTTTATCTAACATTTATTTGTAAAAATTCTTCGAAATATCTGTCATTTGTTGTTAATCCCAATGAAAGCAATAAAAATTTATTTTAAAAAGTATATAAATTCTTACATTGAATTGTTAGCAAACAATCTTTTATCTAACATTTATTTGTAAAAATTCTTCGAAATATCTGTCATTTGTTGTTAATCCCAATGAAAGCAATAAAAATTTATTTAAATATTATTACAATACAAAGAGTAATATATCTTTTCGTGAAAGTAAATGTATAAATGTTATAAAATAGTTTTTGTGTGGGTTTTAGGAAAATTATACATGTACTGTGCTATATTTTATAAAAATGTAAATTTTCCTAAAGTTTTGTCACAAAACTTTTATCCATAACATCAGCATTAGTGGACCGTTGGGTGAAGTTTTTAAAGCAAAAGTTAACCTAATTTTGACGAGTTTTGCATTGAATTAAACGTTATGTTATAAAGGGCATTACATCACACTCAAGTTATTTGGTAAACAATTACTGAAAATACAATATCACTGACTGATATTCTGGTCTGTTCTTCAACATTCTTCAACACTTCGTAAATCGTTTTCTATAACTTCCATACATTATAAGAACATATTCAACATTTGCCTGCATTATATCTGTGGCAAACTTTGCACCTCTATATCAGTTGTAATCGTTGGACACAATTTGACATTTCAAATGTGTTCATACAATCAAATACTTGACAAAGTTTTACAATATTTGAACTCATTTTTACTTTACTCTCAAAACAATATAACGATTGTAAATATTTAGACATTTTATTATTTCATTAAACCTTAATTAATCACAGGTTTAGTGTTGTATAACAACTGCCATTATTTAGGATAATCTGACACTAATTGCTATTAAATTCAATAAATAAATATAAATTCAAAAATTCAATAAAATTTTATTGATATACTGTCAGGGATCAGTTAAAGAGCACTTCAGGGATCATAATATACTAGTCTGTGATCGATCCACTTCTCGTTGCCCGCCGATAGCGAGCGCCGGTGCCGAGGGTTTGACACCGGCGGCGGATTATGTACGGGAGTGGCAGTGGTGTCGGCGTTCAGTATTTGCTTAACTAAATTCATTTTGTCTTTGGCCACACACTGTTCCCTTTCCAATTGGCTCTGTTTCTCGGCCAGAATCCGCTCGAACACACACTTCAGCCGTTCCTTCTCCGAGTCGAGCCGTTCTCTCATTTTGGCTTTCATGCGCTTCTTCTTGAGCTCCGATGGACTCAATTCTTGGCACTTGTCGTCCAAACTCTGTTGCATTGCCCGAAGATTACGCTCCATATCAGTGATCCTCTTCTGGTATGAGTCGCCGTATCTCTCGCTTTGACAGCACTTATTCTCGTAGTCTTTGATCTGTCCTTCTCTGACCGCCAAATCCATATGCAATGCAGTCAACTGTTGCTTCAAATACATGTTCTCCCTCTCCATTTCAGCCACTCTTTGTCTTATAATCAATTCTGTGATCCAAACAAATGTTAAATCATATCCAATATAAAAGTTGAATGTAATTACGATTCTGTTTATGGACTTCAAACTTAAGCTCTTTGTTTCGCTTTCTCTGTTCCAAGCATTCAACGGAACAGTTGGGCAGTGGCGGACCGACCACATTGATGGCCGCCAAATCCACGGCTAGCATATTGTCCATCAGTTTAGGCATAGTTTGGAAATTGAATCGATTGACAGACTTAGAGACCAACACATCCTGAGAATGTTCGGCAAATTTCATCACATGCTATCGGAGACAACGAAATACCAAACATTTAGTTAACAAACATTTAAAATGTATAACAAACTAATTAAAACAAACCACAGTCTCTTCATTATCAGCGGATGGTTTGACGCATACATCTACGCGTATAATCATCTTAACCTTCCCCTCGTTTTCGAAGTAACTCTTGAATAAATGCGTTAATTTGTTGTCTGCTAACATAACTTAACTTAACCTATACTCCCAATTAACAATACATCATATTTAACTGTTATTCCTGTTATAATATGGTAATATTAAAAGTTCTATAATATATTCTAGGGCATTGAGCTCACAGCATAGGGTCTATAATGATCACGCAATATAATAAGCTAGGTTATTGTATTTCCTGTACACTTGCATATGGATTCCTATTCTGGTTACACTGTTTCAGTACTGACAATGTTGTGAAGTATTTGTATTTAAATAACTTAAGCTAACATAATGTGCATTTTCACATATTAATGGTGTCGTTAATCTAGCAATACTCAAATTACAATCATCATTCAACTTTATTACAAGTTGAACACAAGTAAACTGTGCTAGGTTCATTTAATACTATTTGATACTATTTATAATGTGGATTAATTGTACAATCATTGATAGTGTGAGTAATCTTATAAAGTATCGCAAATACATATCTAAATCCTTTCTACCGGTAATCGCAACAAATGATTCATAACTTGGATTCAAAACTAATGCTAATTAAACACTGAATAGAGAGACAGAATCGACAACCGATTCGTTGGCAACACTTTTCAAGCATTCAATGCCAGACGTCATTGATTTGAGGCCCCGATTGGGTTGTGTTGTGCGCTCTGATTGGCTGTCACTACAAACAGAGCATTCAATGCCTTCAATGCACACAAGTATTTGAAATACGAGTCAAACGTTTGATTCATTCATTCATTTTATGCAAACATTTCATTCAATTTTAATCACATTTTCATTGATTTTTATTGATTTCATTCATTTCACCGCCGATTCAGTGGCCGTCCGATGCGTCCCATGTATGACACGACCCACACATATCAGCCATTGATTGTGTCCATCACTTAATCCATTTGTTTTGCTCTTCGCAGACAACCGAAGACACCGTTGGGTAAGAAGACGGCGCCTCCCACTCGACCCAAACCGCCCAAAACCCCCAGTAATGGCCAAAACAACGCGAATGCGGCCAACAAAGAGCCCGTCCAAGTGTTTTGCCGACTCAGACCTCTCGACAATTACGCCGATTTGGTTGCCGTCCATCGCGTGCCCACAAACAACACTCTCCTCCGTTTGACGGCTGCCAACGGATCCCGCGGTGACCTCTTCT